AATGTTTTGACTGGAAGGCGGAAAACTTTCTCTCAATCAGATTCAAGCAAATCGTCGAAAACTTTTCCACATTAAAACCTGCGGCGTTTTACTCAAAAGTGACAACACGCCATTGCAAATAATGGTGAATATATCAGTCATTTAGTTATGTGCCATGCGTGATACACGCTTAGATACATGACTGACGAGGCAGATTTTTCCCCTGCAATAGGTTGCCATTTATTTCTGCGGTAGAGCAGTTGCCATTCAAGGCTATAGAACCCGGCCCGTCCTGCTATTTACCCATAGCTGGTGGGAGAAGAAGAGGATTCACACCTTTCCCAGGTAAGTGAATGTAATGGATTCGACTGGAATTCGAACTCGGCTCTCCGATTCCTCAATCCGAGCTGCTATCCATTAAATCATCGTGATTGAATATAGAATTGAATAAACTACAACTGTACTTCACTTTTTGGAAGAATAAAGATGATAAGCAAAAACAAATATTATTTATGATCAACATAAGAGTTATTTCAAAAGCTCAGACAGAGACTTGAACTCATTTAAGAATAGTTTGTAGACTAGTTTATTAATCGTTATCCGTAGGGAGCTGATAGGTATGCATATATCTGCGTGTGTGTTTATGATAAAATGGCGACACGCCTATCAATGTTTTCACGCGTGTAATTATGTCTTTTTGATCATGTATGAATACTTAAAGAGGATGTTATAAGTGTGTACCTATCAGAATGTTCCTGCGAATGTTCGTTTTTAACAATTAAGGCTGCTCTGGACGTTCACCTGTGTGTGCAAGTCTATTGCACTATCTAGTGTACAATTTGTACATACAAAGAGTATCTGTCTATTCCTTCGCTCGCGCATGCGTCTAAATGCGAGATAAAAAGCGACCCCTAGTGGCCATTTTGTTTAGATTTCTTTTTGCATCTATTTTACTGATTGAGAATATTTTATGGCTTTACTTTGCATCCGGCTTCTGTCCCCCGGCTGGAGACATTGGTGATGGCCGGCTGGGTACAGCGTAAATACGGGTGTATGGAGAGGTGTATTGGGTTGGCCCCATCCCTTTTAATGGTCGACATGAAAAGATGATGTTCATCGTTAAACGATCGCGTTTCGTTCAAAGCTATCAACTTGTGACTCTCGCCATTAATAAGGGCGTAATTCTAACTTAATACTCACCCACTTTGTGGCAAAAATCAGTTTGAAAAAATGGCTGCTTATACACATGCGTACAGTGAGAGATGAGGATTCGCATCGGTATATAATTGCGCACACATAGAGGTTAGATACTGTTCCTCTTTGCTTTTTATACATTCGGGCACCTTTGTGGCACCCGAAAACAAACAGAGGAAATTTGAAAAACAAACACTTTGTTGCGTTTAGCCACATCTCACTGTTGCTGTACGTGCACTGCTCATACACACACAAGCAAGAACACTCGTAAGAACACACACGTACACACATTCGGGAGCACATACACACATGCAAACACGCACGGATGTATGGAGGAAAATTTACATAAGTATGAAAATGTTTTCTGCTTGAATTGGGCTCGACTATAGCCTTTGGATTAAAGCGTTGGTTCATGAATTTGGTGAGATAGTAATTGTCAGTTCAATCCATGATCCATCACACACTCAGCGAAAAAAAGGGGGCGATTAATAATTAAGCTGTATTAATAAGAAGCAGGCATAGACAATGGAAAGTTAATTGGATCCATAGACACGTTAAAAAGACTGGTGAGCACAATGGCCTAAATTTTATGATAACCATTAAAAAAGGCAAACAAATGATGAACAAGTTCTTTCAAGATGTCGCAATATACGCTCGAGAACGCGCACACACACTCATCATATATATATATATATATATATATATATATATATATATATATATATGGACTCTCCCATCGCATTCGACTTATGAGGGTCAAGCAGTTCAGTTCATAGGAACCGACAGCCTAACACCAGCGCATATGATTTGGTTGTAGTAGTGAATGCTTTGTGCAGAACCATCCACACTTTTTGAAGGGGCGAATACAGAGACCTGGTGCACTACGTGCCACAAGGTCCCCAAACGACCCTCCGCAGAGTTGTCCTTGAATTCAGAGTTGTCCTTTTCTTAGATTCCTAGACCAGTTGCCATCCAAGGCTATAGAACCCAGTCTGTCCTGTTATTTACCCATAGCTGGAGGGAGAAGAACAGTATTAATACCTTTCCCAAAAGCACGTAAGTGAATGTAATGTATTTGACTGGAATTCGAACTCGGCTCTTCGATTCCTCAATCCACCGCCATCCACACACACACACACACACACACACACACACACACACACACACACACACACACATACATATATATATATATATATATGAAAAGTGTATATAAATATAAATAAATATAAGTATGTATAATTATTTATATATTATATGCGGTACTTTATTAGAAAGCGCTCAATATCAGAGATAGAGCTAACATATTTGGTTGGATAGAACCCAACTATATATATATATATATATATATATATATATATATATATATATATATATATATATATATATATATATATATAATGAAAAACAGACCACTTACCATTACGATAATTTATTTCACCAGAATCCTTTTTAAAGGACTCCGGATCATCAGGTAACAATTCCAACAATGAAATGAAAGGAAAAAATGAGATTAGAAATTGATGGGTAATGTAATTTTTGTAATTTAATAGGGAGAGTAATAGTTGTAGTTAACTAGACAAGGTAGAGTATAGGGAGGGGTTAATTTCATATTTCTCTTAAGCAAGCTTTATATTGGGGTAGGAGGAGTGACCGAATCGTGACCTATTTATATGGTTATAATTTATTTCACCAAAATATATGTAGTGCACAAAAAGTAACGCCACTTTTTATTTATTAAATTTACGGAACAAAAATAAATTATAGTAATTTAAGAAGATTTAGAAGAATTGTCAAACTAACATTTGTTATGAATAACAAACTATTCATGTTTAAACCTTCATGTTCAATACAACGATGAACACTATCACCGACACTTCTACAAACCATTTGACACATTTAAAAAAAAAATAGCAGAAATTACTTGTTATAATTCAGGAATTGTTTTTGGTTTGAGCATGTAAACATGATCTTTCAGTAGCGCCCACAAAAAAAGTCTGGTGCGGTTAGGTCGAGTGATCATGATTGGCTCGTACTCCACGTCGTCTATTCAGCTCGAAATTAAAATTTAACCACACAGAAACACGTAAGCCATGGTTTATCTTAAGCCATTTTAAACTAGTGTAATTTATATTTCTTCAGTAAAAATTAATAAATAAAAAGGGCGTTACTTTTGTCTTAACCTGTATATATAAACCTAGGTAGATAGGACATGGCTCCTTGGGATTTATTTATTTTACCTTTGCTCTACTTACAGTATTGAGCACTTTTCGTTTTAACTTATTACTTACTGGGGTTTTTTTTTCTATGTATCAGAAATTTAAGGTACTGGACGATTTCTTTGGCCCTGTTCGGAGGCTTCTGGTGCTTTCTTTTTTTTTCCAAATTTTTCCTCGAATGCCAATTTCTTTGATAATTTTGCTATCCAGGTTTTTTCACCCACCGAGTTTAAAATCGATTTACATTATATATATATATATATATATATATATATATATATATATATATATATATATATATATATATATATCCAAGTATAGGATTGGTGTATACGGAATAAATTCCAATAACCAACAAATACTATTCTTAAAAGAGTGCTCAATACAGAGTAGAGCAAATATAATAGACATTCAACGCCATCACTTGATAAGACACCAGAAGTGTTGAAACAAAATGGATATTTTTGTAGTGATTTTATAAGATATTTATGTTATAATTTTCAATAAATAAATATGAATATATATATATATATATATATATATATATATATATATATATGTGTGTGTGTGTGTGTGTGTGTGTGTGTGAACTAAGTGGTAGATATTCAAAATATACAGAATATTCTAAATATGCATATTTGTATACAAGCACGTTCATAGACACTACTTTGATACAATAAAATATCAGTACTTTTCTTGACAAACTCTTTTATTCAGATAAATTTATATAGTCGCTATGTTAGTGATAAAAACAGTTTTATTACGACAATCCATGACGACAAAAGAATCGTAGCAGAATCCAGGACAGCCTACAGCATCCAATCCAGAATAGAATCTACTGGAGGAAAAAGTACAGCCATGTTGTTCACTGACTTTACGCCAATGTACATTTCATCATGTGTGTAAATTACTCTCTCGAGTGGTTTGTAACACTCTATTTATCACCTCTCAGTTGCGTCTCTGTCTTAGGACAGAGTGCACACAGGGGCGACTCCGTGAAAGGACAGTCACAAGTGAGGAAAATTATACTGTAGAGGTGCCGGCCCTGGAAAACAGCCGTCCGAGCCCGCGCGCTCTAATTGAACTAGGGAGAGGGGGCTCGGGAATTTTTGTTCCTAGCCCGGTAGTACGCGCTCGGGTTTCCCACATTAAACCGACCTTGTGTTACAACCTGACTTCGTGGGAGTTTAAGTAAAACAAATTTCATCATAAAAGAACGGTTCCGGTTTTGATTCGATGGATTCATACGGTGGAACTTTCTACCGATATTTCCATGGCTGTTCGGTGCGTCGGGTTTTTCATGCAGGAAAATTACTGGTTGACTTCCTTGCGTAATAACCTTTCTTTTCTGTTCCAATGCGACATTCAAACGAGGCAATTACTCACTGTAGAATTGCGCAATAACGATTCTATCTAGGTCAAGAAAATTATCAATAAAAACGGCCATGCTTAAAATTATTACCTACAACTTGTTTCTCGTTCGATTTACCGCATGCTACTTAAGAAAGAAATTAGCGACGTCTAATAACGTCGATTGCTCGGAGAAATAATATAGAAAGAATCAGCGTCGTACTCTGATGATATTTTCAGTTTATGAAATACACACACCTGGCAGTGGGAGCAGAAGAGTGGGAGGACAAACAAGAGAGAGACTGAATGAAAGAACAGGAAAGAAAACGAGAGAAATAGATAGATAGATAGATAGATAGATAGATAGTGAATGAGATATTGAGAAAGAGAAAGAGAAAGAGTACTGGAGAGAACAAAGAAGTATTTTGACAGAAATGGTGAGAGAACAAGAAAAAGGGGAAAATGGGAGAAGAGATAGAAAGCATACAAACAAGAAAGATGTTGAGTAAAAGAACAGAAGAGAAATAGATAGATAGATAGATAGATAGATAGATAGATAGATGGATAGATGGGTGGAGAGAGAGATAGAGAAAGAGAAAGAAGAAGAAATATTTTTGAAGAAATGATGAGAGTATGAGAAAAATGGGGAAAGAAAGCGGGATCAAATGAGAGAGAACAGAAACAAGAGAGTGATTGAGTAAAAGAACAAGCAAGAGAAAGATATAGATATAGATAGATAGATAGATAGATAGATAGAGAGAGAGAGAGAGAGAGAGAGAGAGAGAGAGAGAGAAAGAAGTATAAAGGAGAAAGAAAAAACGACATGCAAATATAAGATTCCGAAAACAACACGCACACACACACGCACGCACACACACACACACATACACATACATATACATACACATACATAAACATTCATATTAAGTGAATTCTCATATTTTTTATATTATTTTTTAAAATCCGGTAGTCAGGGGTTATTAGCTCTCTCCAGGACACGGACACCCAACTACTCTCCTAGCCTGTGCGGAACCCATCGTAACCCCACTGTCCCTGGTCGCAATGAAGGCACACCTCATTACCAAATCGGTCACACTTGACCTGACAAAGGCGTATGAGATTTTCGCTAATGAACAGAAACAAGTCAAGAGAAGTGGCCGTCGCAGATCACCGAACACACCACAACTATTGCTTTTCAAATAAGCGCCAATGATTTTTTTATATTTCTTTGGCGTTTAAATACGGTGCATATGAAGGACCTCTGGGCGTAGAGGCGTGAATGCGTGGGGGTGTAATTCTAGGTTCTTTTGTCAGTGGGGTCGTAGCACTGTTTCTACTGGTGTGTGTGTGTGTGTGTATGTACTTTTTTAAATACTTAAAAATATAACCTTTGTGACCTACAAGCCATAGTACAATGAGGAAGTACCGTCGTAGAAATTGGAATCCCTGGGATCAGTCTTTTTTTTTTATATAATTGATTGATTTTTTTTTATGGTTTACCAACACTTTATGAGTTATTTAAAGCCGAAACATATTTCGGTGTGTAAAAAGTTGTTTACAGTATTCGGTGTTCTCAAGCGGTTATCCTTTTAAGTACTGACCAGGTTCGACATATCTTAACTTGGAGGATCGAACGAGAACCGGTGTTTTTTTTTTTGCGCGATTTGACCGTAAGCAGGCTTTTTTTTTATATGACAAGAGAGAACAGATAATACGGTCTGATTCTTTATTTACACCCCTCTCCACGGTGTCAGGTCATTTTTCAACGTGGTTTGCCTATATGCGTGCATATAGGCGAAACAAAATAAAATTGCCCCATCACCGCGACTGTTACTGGAAAACACCAACCCTCCCTAGCGTAATGTGGAGGGTGCTGCTGCAGAATCGGATTCTCCGAGACCAAGATATTTCTCCGTACCCCAACGTTTCAACAGAAACGAGATCGAAGTTTAATGCTTGACTTTTCTGCATTACCGTACAAAAAATGCTCAAGCCTTCTAAGCACTTGCCCTTTTGGAGGACGCCTCAGGCCGGGTAATGATCCCAACCCCTCCCGAAGGAGGGTTACTGCCTGGGAATTCTCCCTCTACTCGAGGCTCGAACTAATATTATTTTCAACTTTCCGGCCAGAAGCAAGCTCCTACACGGGAGATACAAATCCTTTCATAATTTTGAGAAGAGATTTGACTTTAGGGAGGCCCCACAGATACTCGGTTCCAGGGCAGAAGTATCGATTCATAATTAAATAATATAATAATTTTTGACCGGTAGTATGGTATTTTTCTTTATTTTACAGTGACGTTCACCCTTTCCAAGGCCAGAGAACCACTCGAGGTAGAGGGTTACAGTGTAAGTGGCACAGTTTATGCGGATATTTGGGGAAGATAGTCTTGATAGGGTAGCGATCGAGAAAGCATCCTCTTGGGAGTCGGTTCCACAAAGCATCGGTTCTTGAGAAGAAGTTGTTCGAGTGTAACTCACATGTTACCAATGGAATACAGAGAAAATGGTTGTGGTTCGTTACTTTGGTTAGAAGTGGAGGAACTAAATAATGTGGTTCGTCTGACGACTTTCCATGGAAGCCATGAAAAATAGTATAATAAGGGGCTTGTGACGTTTCGTAATCTTGAACCTTTAGAATAAAATATATCGTATTTTATTTGTTATATACACAGAAATTTGGCTGAATTTTGATACGTCCGAGAAATAATGTTGACACTAGTTGTTAATTTTGAAATATCTGAATGAAAAATTGATTTTTATTTTAAATGTATCTCACATTCATGCCAAAGTTGAACTGGGTGTGTGCTAACGTCTCTCATTTGTTTTTTTTGTAAAAAAAACAAAAAAAAAAAGTCTCTTACACTTAATTCAATTTTAAACATAATCACAAATGGGTTCTACGCGTAGGAAAGCAAAATGTGTAAGGTTGTGAAAAAATCGTTAAATGAAAGGCGGAGTAATTGCTTGTGCGCATGCGCAAATCATTTTTATGTTCGAAATGACCAAAAACGTCGATGTACTGAAGCCGTAAGAATTCTATTATTAAGCCCAACCCATATTTTAAAGGATCCAGTGGAGGATTGTCCGAATGATTGGCAGTTTCTCTGGATGTCGTATTCTAATTTGCCTTTCAATATTTCTTTTTTTTTTATTATTTCTAATCTCTCCGCCTTCTTTTTTTCCCTTTGCCTTTGTTCTATTTTTCTATTGTGATATTTCCGCGTATCTTGCCTTGACATAGGCTTTTTGGTATTTCTGGCTTTGTTATTTCCATGTCAGCTTATGTCAGATTACTCTACGAGTGTTACAAGTACCAGGCAATTCAGTACATATTGTCGGGGCATCGGCAAGTAAACTGGTTCCCTCACCAGACTTTTCTGATGAGGGACGATGGCTGGATATTCAGTTAGATTAAAAACAAAACGTGAAAAAGTGAAAATAAGCTTTCTTTTAGAGTCAACATCTATCTAACACAATAGGGTAATCTGAGCTCCATAGCGATGTATGCAGTCCGTGTGATTGATGACACGGCATCGCTGGGCAAGCATGGCAGCTTAACGATGACCAAAAGAACGTCTTAAAAATAGAGATTGTTGCAAGTAAATAATGAAAAAAAGCAGACGAAGATTAAAAAGTAATCCCCCATCAGCATTAGCGGTCGGAATTCGAGCAAGTAAACACCAGAATTTCGAATACTGAATTCCAAGGCGTGAAAGGACATAAAAATACATGGATGACACTTTGTTGATGGCAGTCACAGAAGGAAAACTGAAATAACTCTTAGAAAAAGACAATAATGGAAAGTAAGATGAAAGGACTGTTGACCCTAAGAAGACAGAATGAATGGTAATCAGCAAAAGAGGCAGCCCTGTTGTTAATTGATGACGGTCGTCTTTGAGTATAGAATCCAGAGGTTAGCAGTGAATATTTCGAAGACAGTAGGGAAGCGTAGTTCATATCCCGGTAAAGTAGCAGAGCGTAGTTCTTCCTTCTGTTCCTCTTTGCCTGACAAGCTGGCACTGGACATTCTGATAGAGTAAACAAAATGGCCGCCTTTATACACGACGGATTGAATATTCTACGTCTTCTGATTGGTTAACCTTCTATTGCTGGACTTTAAAGTGAGTCAAGTCATTTGGGCTACCTCACTAGTTACATAATATACACAAAAAACTGCAGCAAGCCCAAGGTGTAAACTGCATACTGGGTACGTCGAAATCAGACAGGTTCAGATATGTAACTCACTGGATAGTGTAATAACAGATGAAGGAAAATATGAATATACAGAAATCCGAATGAGCATGGGAATAACGAAAGCTGAAAAGATTTGAAACGAATGATGTCTTTCTACTAATTAAGAATGCCATGGACAGAACAAGTGGACAATGAGAAGGTCTCAAGGGAATTAGGAGCAGCAAAGACACTTATACTTACAATCAGAAAGAGACGGTCAAATCTCTTGGGTCACATTATAAGGAAAAAGAACTTGGAGAATTTAACACTAGCAGAGCATATTGAAGTCAAGAGAAGCAGGGAAAATGGCGAGTAAACTGCTTAAGGAATTTGTGTGAACAGTGACTAAGAGCTATGGTAAGGGAAAAATTACTTAGAGCAATAAAAGACAGGGAGTTGTGGAGAGCCATAATCGCCCAATCCCTAAGAGAACTGCATGTAAAACAAAGAGCAACTTTATTATTGTCATTCGACATGTTATTGTAGTATATTGAGGTTTTTAAATATCTATTGTTATTTCCATGAAACTCTATACGAAGGTTGATTGATTAACTCTATACGAACGTCTATCGATTAGCATCGTACTAGTTGAAACAGAAACATGACTGAACATATATTCAGGCCAATAGAAACTATAAGAGTTTATTTATAAAAACTGTTTTACAAACTAAACTAAAATAAAATTTTCATATAGAACCTCTTTATTAAACAGATCATTTAAAAATCAGTTCGATAAGGTCGAATTGGCAGCTGTTCTAAAAAATAACCTACATTCTGTTGTTAACTGGGGCAAGGAATGACTTGTTTATTTTAAAGCCTCCAAAATGAAATTTATCTCTATCAATTACATGTAAGATCCCTTTCGGCCTCTCATCAGCATGGCTGATACTAACCTCCAAGAGAGTGTCCCGTTGCACTTTCTCAGGTTTACATTCTCGGCTGACATGACGTGGAACGATTGTATTGAATCCACTGCTATGTCTGCAGAAGGTTAGTTCACTTTTTCGTGCTAGACACAATTTTCTCTCCTGAATCTATCTTATATATCTATAAGTCTGGCTTTGAATATTGCTGACTCATACGGTCCGATGTTCCTGCTGTATATTTAGAGATTCTTGATAAAATCCAAAGAAAAATCAGCGATATTATTGGTCCTGATCTGGCGTTTCGGCTTCAGTCACTTTCCCACCGCCATAATGCAGCTTCCCTGTGTCTTTTCTATAAATTCTTTCATTGTAATTGTTTGAATGAACTCTTCTCTATAGTACCTAGACTTTGTGAATTTAAGTGCAGTACTAGATTGATGACAAGGTCTCAACAATTCATCTCTCGCAATTCAACTGAACTGGCTAGATGTAACCATATTCTAACATTTTTCTCGCACTTCTCGCTTGTGAAGTTCTCTTCCTGCTCCATACTTTCCAGCCAATTTTCACCTTCAAAAATTTAAATGCAATGTCAATCGTTATCTACTGACTTCTTGATTACTCTTCTATTGTTTTAGCTCCTTAATGTTTTTGTTTTTCTTATTGTTTCATGCTCAGTAACCATTTGTGTCTTATGGCTTTATTGCCTTGCATGGGGTAATA